GCAGCCCGTCCGCTTTACATCGGACAGAAAGTAGGAGAAGGCGCTCCCGCCCTTCTTCAACCCCAAAGCTTTGTAGGTAGCCATCTGGAGCACAAACAGCCACCGGGCACAACAAATCGTTTGCGATTTAGCAAGCCTCGAAAACTACTTCTCGCGATCTGGCAAAGCACGACAGAGACACACTCTGACTAATTATTCCGTCTTTCACATTATACAACATGGAATATGTAATATGTCACAAAACACATGCAATATAAAACATATAGTAGACAATGCAAGCTGTATATGATATATACTGCAAAAATACCATGCAATACAACATGTGTATATATATACATGCACATATTCAGACGCACACGTTATGTATGCACACACACATGCACACATTTTTGTATATAGAGGTTTTTATCTACCTGCTTATGTAGTATGCAGTAGATGTAATGTAGAACACAAACGACAGATTACACAATATATGTACAGAGGACGACAGATTACACAATATATGTACAGAGGATATCATATACAGTACACAAGCCAACAGAAGCCTCCAGCGAGACACCTTCTAACTATCCAATATAAGCAGACCATGTCTAGAACGTTCTTCTATATATATATATACTTACTTATTTCTGTAGTTGTATTATATGACATGAGAGACGCATGACATAGAACGAACAAAACATATCACATCATACAACATGCAAACGGTGCTATCTAGCACAACATAACACAACCTAAGAATATGGTATATTGTAACACAATGCAAAATGAACACGATCTGCTATCATATATCACTAAAAGACGATGCTATCCTATAATATGGCAGAATGCAATCTAACATAAATATCAATATGTTACCAAAACACGCTACTATGCCAGAAAAAGATACAATGCAGTGTCACATGATGTAATTTAATCTAACCTTACACAACATAATACAGCAGAATAACATACAATGCAACATAAAAGAAACATCAAGCAACATAAAGCAATTCAGTAGTTGACTATAAACAAACTAGTTTGACCGCATCTCAAACAACATAACACCATATAACATATAAAAACGAAATATTCCATGAAACCCTAAAACAAAAGAATATCATATAATGGAACTAGAACACAATACAACATAACCAAAGGACAACACATAATTTAACAAACATGACATGATGGAATAGGCATGCTCTGGTATGGTATAGCTTAGGTAGGTGCTACATACAGCCGCTAAGATCTGTGCACATGCAAAAACATATAACCGCGCACATGTCCTCACAGATGTTATACATACATACATACATACATACATACATACATGCATACATACATGCATACATTATATACATGTACATACATCCATACATACACACATACATACATGACAAGACATGACACGACATGACATGACATACAGACAGACATAGATACATACATGCGTATGTACATACATACATACATACATACATACATACATACACATACATACTCATTTATTGATTACTTTGTCTCTTCATTTTAGCGCGGAGCCGCTATTCAGGGCACAGGGGCGACACTGGAAAAGCCGTACATGCATACATGACGTTTGCTGCAAACGGCTTTCCCTGGGTTCGTTGTGGAACGTCCTGCTCTGTTCGAAATGCATATCTGCACAGATGGATCTGTGTTGATGCCCTGACTGCGCATCTCCCTTTGCGATACTTCCATCTTGGCAAGGGGCAGTGCAGGATGTCCATAAGATCCTGTCAACTCCGACTCTTCTAAGAGTGCTGAGCAGGGGGGCAAACACTGCCCACCAGGCCTCCCAGGCCTCTCCCACCCTTTGCACAGCGCGCTGCTGCCGCGTCGGGGCGAGCAAAGCCAGGCATTCAAGAGACCCAGCGACGCATGATGAAACACTGCCCTCACAAGGCTTGAGCCAGGCACCATAATCGCGACACTGAAGCAATGGACTGTGCCGATGGAGGGTCCAAGAACCATACTTGTAAGTCAAAGCAACGGAAGGCCAGACGAGCCTCGCCAAAGGACAACCTGCCGCCTAGCAGCGCAAGGGGGAAGGGGAGGCCCGGAGGAGAGGGCACTCTCGCCCCACACTGCACTGCACTCTTACAGCCCTTTCTGGCCGAATCTTCGAGGATCAGCTGGTATTTCGCACAGGTGGCATTTCAGCGGTAATCTTGTCTTGCACAAGTCTACTTTGGACTTTGAAACCTCATGCTCAGCCATGATTGTGAGCGAAGACACCCCCCATCCCCCTCACATTCTCTCCTCTCTTGGAGTCTTGCCCCGGGTAAGCCTGTGCAGTTTCGATGATGGCAGAAGCAGCCTCCAGCAGCAGAGTTCAGGCTTAATTTCAGTCTCTCGGGTCGGCTTCCAACTTGTGGCCGTCGATGAACAGACGCCCTCGGGCGTCCCTATGACATGCCCGGCGAGAGATGTCGCACCCCAAGTAGTTCCAGGGGTGTCCTTGAATTTGATAAGGCAGACAAACAGATCATGCGGCCTGCAGGCCCCAGACTGGAGAAAGTGTCGGAGAATGACGCATCGCATGGGTCTTCGCAGCTGATGCTTCCACTCAACCTGCAAGGCCTTTGAATCACAGGGGAGGGTTTCTGTCAGGAGTTGACGGCAAAACCTACCTGTGCAAGCGTCTAGAATTGAATCTGGTGGGAGCTGCTTGTAGCTATTACCAACCACTAATTTCCACTGATCTGTCTGAATCAATCATACTGGACAGTCGGTGATGCTTCACTGGGGGATCGCAATCATCTGGAGCCTTCGCCCAACACATCGAAGCAGTTTAAAGAACATAGAAGATATCAACCTCCAGACGAGCACTACCCATGCATACCAAAATATGTGCAGCATGCCAGCCACCGCAACTGCAGCCTTGGATGGTGCGCGAAGAGAAGTTGCAAACGGCGTGTGCCGTGCAGCTGCCGCCTGATGCACGCACAGCCACGATGCGTCCCCATAAACACCCTCCATGCTACCGTCTTTCACTGAAGGTATATAAGCCCATGACCACAGCGCCAGGAAAGCTTGACCGCTGGTGGCAAAAGCCTGCCCGACGGTCTAGCCGTGCAGGTTTGTCTTGCGAGGCAACGATTTGGCATGCTGTTCTGCAGCACTTCGTCTCGTATGGATGTCATCTTGCATCGATCGTGTCGAAGAACAAAGCTCAAGCCATGCCGAAAATTCTTGCTACGTCGCTACGGCCCCGCGCCGTGGAAAGGGCTTTGGCGAGTTCGTGCTCCTCCGCACACAGCACCAGCGGCCACCTGTCAATGCAACCACACCTTTTTCTGTGCTTCAGCATGCTTCAGTGCATCGTCAGAGTCAATTCTCTAGACTGTGGAACTGCGCAGCATCACCCCATCCGCTTTAGAATCTAGAGTCCGGCACATTCCGAAGAAATTACAGCTCTAGCTGACCCACAAAGTGCGGTAAGCAATCTGGAATCGTTGCTCCTCGCCTCTCGAAACTTTCCGTGACCTGACGTCCCCAAGGCGAACACCCACCCACAAGGATTTGCTTGAAGGACCATGCACCTCTGATGCAGCTCGCAGCAGCTGCAACCTGCGAGAGCAGGCTTGACGGAAGTTGGCTTTTCACCTGATCAGCTGTGCCTGGAACGTCCTTGCAGTCGGCGCAGGGATGCGAGGAGAGCCTCCCAACTACGTCAACCATTTCTCTACCACATTACTCAACAAAAGGACGCCTCAGTGTGGCAACGCACCGAGCCGGACTCTCTGTGACTCAAGGCCCGCGCATCGTACCAACTTGTGATCCAATGTCCTGGCTGGTGCTTCAATGTCGCCGGTCTGCAGCTTGTGCAAGCAACATCAAGAGAAAACACTTGCAATACATCCTGCGCTGCTGCTGGCAGAGGGGCGACGCCGAATACCTGCTAGCAGCAGCACCAGCCTGCATCCAACTCGACGTGTAATGGTCTGCCACTCCCAGATCGGTGGAAGTCTTCGCACAGCACAGAAGGCTTGTCGGCTTGTTACTACAACAGCAGGAGGAGGAGCTCGCAAGCAGGCTGCATGTGTCAGAATGATTTTTGGCAGCCAAAGCCTTTCCAATGTGAGCTCGCCAACCACACAGCCTGCCACTGACTCATGTGCCGGAGCTCAGACAAGCAAAGACTAGCCACTCGTGAGTAATTATGTCTCCGCTATTTCAACTACAGAATTTCGTTGGGAACTAGCATCGCTCTTCCACGTTGTACATACGGATGCCATGATTGCAACAATTTGGCATCTACAGTCGGCAATCGACCCCAAGAAATTGCATATACACCCACAACTGTGGATCGGGAAATCAGGAGTGGAGCATAGTGGCGATGTGCAAGTGTGCAGAGGTGACCTGCCGAGTTGAAGCATTGCCTTAGAAGACAAAGTGCCTCTGCTCGAAAAAGTCGCTGTGTGGTTTCCAACGGACTTTATCCTTGGCACTCGTCCTTTAAGAAGGACCACCTAGCTCGACCTAACTGGGGTGTACCTATACTCCGATTCTTGCGCTACAGCTCCATCCCTGACCTTCTCGAGAAGCGAATCTGTCGTGGCGGAACCCTGCTGGCGTCTGCTCGCTTTGGGCGTGTAAAATCACTTTCTGGCGAAGCTTGCCGGCCACTGCTTCAAATTGCCACAAATCGCAAAGTACATCCCAAACCCAGCCACGAAAAGCAAGAATGTGATGTGTGTGCATTATTGGTTTGGTTATTTTTGAGTGAGATGGCCGTTTAATGTGTAGTTGTGGGCTGATTGCGTTGTGGTTTTGTGTTGTTGCCTTCCTTTGGTGTGGCCATTCATTGTGTGCAGTGCTCGTGTCCTTTCGTGGTGATGGTTTTGGTGTTGCTGTGCTGGGCGTGCTGAGTTTGAATGGGTTGTCGTCTCGTCGTTTCTCTGGGCTTCTGTTGCTTTCGTGTTTGATCCGTGATCGTTTGAGTTGCGCTCGCGGTTGAGTGATTGCATTGAACAGTGGTCAGATTCGGCACTGGTCAGTGGTCACGTGTGATGCAAAGCATGCGCCTGGCCTAGAAAAGCTCGGAGCTTTTCGCCGAAGCTCCCATCTACAGCTGCCTTAGCCGCAAACACTGCAGAGCACTGTGTCAAACCTCGCCCATCCGAGCAATGGTAGCTTAAGCCACCTCTGAAGACAGGTGAGGCAGCCGCAGTCAGAGCAGCCAGCGCTGCACTGGGCCGCATGTCTGCACCTCCAGTCTTTCAGAGGCATCGCAACAGCCGCAATAACTTACGCCTACCAGCGTGGCCCACTCTCGCTAAGGCCCGAAACTCGAGCGCATGCGACTTCCATCCTCACCGTCCTCAGAGTCCAGATTTTGCTAAACCTCTTGTGAAGGGGCTCTTCCCTGCTGGTTCTGCCGGGAATCCGAAGCCTTACGCGCTGCACTCAGAGTCTGACGGATCCAGATGATGCACGGGGCGAGGAGCTCGCCCCAAGCCTTGAAGCACGTGAGCCCGTTTCAACTTCAAACCCGTGTCCCTCCCAGGCACTGTGCGGAAACCTGGGACCTCGGACAGAGCGACATCTTGAGCCGCAGAAGCTGCCTGGCCACGAGGCAGCGCTTGAAAGCGACAGCTTCAAGTTTCAAGTCGCCTCTCACAGGTTACATGGACAACGAAGCAATAGTGCACCTCCGGGGTGCTTCGCTCCAAGAAGAGGGTAGCAACCATTGACCTCACATCCGCTGTCGGCATGTAGCTTCACGTCACACGGAGTCTCTGAATTGCCGAAAGAGCTGCGGTAACACGCCACTGCGCAGCAAGCGTCGCTGCTCATGTGAGCTGCCCTGCGGGAGCTCAAACCCATCAGCGGGTGGTAGCTGAGCGTGCGAGAAGCCTTGAGCTGCTCCAAGAGGACTCGCAATCCCTAGAGACAGGGGTGCGATTCTCCCGGAAAGTACTGTATGCCATGCGAATCAACGCTAGAGTCCAGAATCTCCGTTGCCTGCCAGAGGAGTGGCTCCCAATCGGGCGCTGTTTGACCTGAGCTTCCGGTGAGAAGTGAGGAGACAGCACAGTGGAGAGTTTCCCAGCCAGTTCAACAGAAACTCCTACACACCATTTTGGCACCGTCGGTTCCGAGCCGAACCGCAGCTTCACGGGCATCAGAAGCAGCAGACGAGTAGTCATGCCTTGCCGGAGTTACGGGGTCTCTTTTCCCTGACCCGAAGCCACCGCTTGCAGCGCAGTCTTCAGTGCTCAGTCACACCATGACCACTTCAAGAGAATTGCACGCTCCAGCTGCTTCTCGTCTTGAATGATTCTCTGAAACTTGAGCTTTCCATCTGATGCCTTGTGAATGGAAGCAGCCACCCTCTTTGCCACTCCTCCGAGACGTCCGAAGGATCCGGCCTCGACCTGGAAGATCAGTGATCCGTCCAGCTTCAGAATGGGCGCTGGCGGTGAGAGGAGCCTCTTCTGCGCCTGAATCATATCGCTAACAAGACATCTGGAGATCGCCTCGTACATCTCAAGACCGGTCTCCCCTGCAACCAGTGTTTTCTCGCGTTCTTCGTAGCCGCCGTGTTGGCCCGAAGCTTGATTGTATGCCTCCTGTTGTGCTGTAGATCTGTAGGGTGGGTTGCAGATGATGACATCGTATCCTTCTGAGTGGAGTTGAGCTCGCACTTCCGGAGCATCCAACTTCGTGAAGTCGACGCAAGCAGTGCTGAAATTGCGAGCTTTGCTGGCAGGCAGCTGGCTTTCTGCATTGGCCTCGCAAGCTGCGATGGCACCTTCGTCCACGTCCACTCCCGTTCCAACGGCTTCTGTCTTGGCGAGGACGGCCAGCAGCAAAGCTCCGCAACCAACTCCCAGATCGAGAACAGAACTTCCTTTCCGAGTGATGCATTCGATAGCAGCGTGGACTAAGGGAGCCGAGGACTTCCGAGGTCGAAGTTGTTCCGATGGCACCAGAAGTCGTAAACCACAAAACTCGACCGTCTCTTGCTGCACCTTTTGCTCTGCAAGGCTTCTTTCAAGAGAGAGGAAGCCGGACCATTTCACAGGGAGATCCCGCTGGACAGCATCGGCATCGGTTGGAGTCAGGCGCACAGCCTCGACGCACGTTCCGCTCAAGACGTCTAGCTGACTTCTATTTTGAGCTTGCCCATGCGGGTCAATCACATCACGGCTCCGTCCCTTGGCTATGCGGAGAACCGCGAAGCCCAGCTCTTGTACAGCCAAAACAGCATCCAGTGGTGCGACCGCCGTGGGACCGCTTAAGCAACAGTCCATCTCGATCGTTGCGATGTGGCCAAAGTGCCCGGAAGGGGTGCTTGTCACAAGCCTGGCTTCTTGATCTAGACCCCCGAAAAACTCCAATGCCTCTTCTACATGTTGGGGAAAACCCTCGTGCTGATCTTTCACGGTGATAAGCAGTGCATAGGTCCCGCGGATCGGCACGCTCGATCTGTCATATCCAGGTCGAGATAGCAGCACCAGACCTGCTGTTGCATCCCTGGCAGCCGAAGCTGGCACCCACTTGCCCCCGAGAGCCTGCAATGCCCAAGCTGTAAGGCAGTGACCGTGATCCGCAAACACTGGGAAGTCGCTTGGCTTGAAAACTACAGCGAAGGGCTCCCTGTTCCATTCCAGTCGAACCCCATCTGGCGGCTTCTGCATAGTCTTGGCAAGGCCACTTGGCAAGCACCACCATGAGCCCCGGCAGGGCGAAGACACAAAAAGAGTGTTTGGATTAGCGAAGGGTTCGTTTCACTCATCACTCAAGCTTTGAGGACTGCCGTGAAGGGCCACTTTGCCAGGTCACCTAGCCGCTAGCCTAGCCCGTCTCAGTCCGCCTCATCGACAGGGCTTTGCAAGGAGAGTCTGAGAGGTGAACGTCAGCGCAAGCGGGGCTACACGTCTGTAGGTAACGCAGCATATAAAAAACCCTCATACCTCAGATGAACCCCATGTAAACGTGAACCACGTACATTGATTCCGGGCCCTGCTGCCCAACAATTCCCGGGATCTGTGTCGGATCCGGCCGGTTTGCTTCGTGATGTCTATGACAGTCGTGGAATTCGGAGGCTGGTTTTCGGAGGCTGGATTTCGGATCGTCGCCACGATGTGGAAAATGCCAGCGGAAGCAAGGATTCGAGCTGCTTTCGCAAGCATGGCATAGCATGGCAACCTCTGGCATGAAGTCGAGATCTGCATGACTGTCGTTGTTGTTGTTGTTGTTGTTGGATTGTTGGGCAGGGGTTCCGCACTGGGGCAGGGTTTCACCCCCAGCGGCCCGAGCATGAACTAAAAACAGCGCTAAGTAGCGAGCCCGTGCTTTCATGCTCGTCCATCTCCAAATCCTGACCACAAGTTGCTGCGAGACGCAAAGATACCTCTCCAGCGAATGCTTGCCTTGGCTGGGGCAGACAGGAAAGCTTCCTGAAGGCAAGATCTCATGTTTCGGCTTCGAAGCTGTTTCGTCTTCGCAAACTTACCCGTTGCCGTGGATGTGCCACAGCATACCGTCACAACAGGCCCTGCTGAGAAACTCGTGCTTGGCTACACTTGCGATGAACGTAGTCGTATGTAGTCGTACAGCCGAGAGTGGTGACCAGGATTTCACTCTGCATGTCGCGTCGCGTCGCGCCTGCGGAAGGGTCCACAGGCCACAACTCGCTGTGAGGCCGCGGAGCGACAGCAGGAGGACCAGAACAAGCACCTTAGACCGTTTCACAACTGCTGCCCAAGTTGTGGGGCGCATAGGAAGCATCTCATGGGCCCTCAAACATGTCCCCGTTTGCAGGCTAGACATCCGATCGATGTCACTTACTTGTTGAATGAATCCTTCTGGTGCGTCCAAACAGCATTTACATTTACGTGTTGGCATCCTTGATTCCCTGATCTGAAAACCAACGGTGGATGACTGGACGGCTGAATATCTTCAGCTGGAGCTGGGGCTTTCGGTCCGGGTGTTCGGCATCGAAGCTGGGGAGGGAAGCAGGGATTACACTCGGCGACCTTCGACGCTCTTCGGCCTGCTTACAGAGGGTTGTGGGCCGTAGCATACTGCGATGCATTTAGGCCGATCGACGCCCAAGCTGATGAACCCCGTAGCTGCCAGGAGTAGCCATCAGCTCGAGTCAAAGTGTCTCGAGATACCTTTACAAACAGCACCTGTCACAAGCAAATGCCCGAAGCAAAGCTTTCCAAGCTGCTTTCTCGGGCAGTCAACTGACATAAATGGCAGGACACCGACATCTTCTCACACTCCTCGCTGCTACCCATGACAGTTGTGCTTATCGAGGCGTGCGCCAGCGTCGTGAGGACATGAAACCTGCAGGCGACCCAAACTCGAGGCAGACAATGCCAGACACATCCAGAGACATCTCCTTTCACCATTTCAGGCAAGGCAGGCAAAGGCAGGCAAGGGGCATGTCACCACTGAGCTCCTCTGCTGGCAATGCGGATTCCTTGGCAGTCTGCCAGCAAAACTTTTGCCGTCGCACCCGCGGACCGTTTAACTTTAAGCAGCCGTCCAACCAGGCAGAAGGAGGACTGCGAGAGACGCAGCTAGCGCACACCTCAAGCATCCGCAGTCCGCTGCATCGAAGATCCCTGCAATCTGGAAAGTAAGGTTTCTGCAATATGTGCTGCCAGGTGCCTGTTTTCAGGAGCACTCTTGGCGTGACTTGACTGTTCAGACTGAGCTACTCGTCTCAGTGCAAGCTTCGACTCAGGTCAAGACATGGTCCCCAGTGGCGGAGTGCTGTCGGAGAGGGAGAAGTGCTGTAGGCCTGGCTCAGATTCGAAGGCAGTGAGAGGTACCTTTGCGTTTTCGGCTAATCCTTGGCAGCTGCACGTGGCAGTGTCTGCCAGGCCAAGGCAGCCAGGAAGGAGCCGCGGGATGCCTCGTCGGCTGACAGAGCCTCAAAGAGAGAAAGACGAAGGGGACGAATCTCCGGCGGAAGGAGTCGTGATGAGTCTTTCGGGTCGTGGCCCGGCGTGCATAGGTAGAGCTCAACCTGCGCAGCTTCTTGCAGAATCCTCCGTCTTCAAGCAGTTGGGCTCCTCTGTCACAACTCTGCTGCAGAACACAGACACAGAGACACACACTGAGCACACATCGCCCTTGGCATCACAGGCCACTGTCGAAGTCCTTCTGCGCTGCCCCGCAAGCACTGCAGCCTGGCGACACATCACAAGCAAACACTACGTCGGGGCCAAGGACATGTATCTCCTACACAGATGCAGAATGCGCGCATGCCCAACATGCCATCGAGGCCAGAGTGCCGACGGACCAGCGCAGGCCACTGCCCTGCGAGGCCCGATGCCATGCAGGTCGTGCTACTGGTAGATACTGGCAGATTGCTCTCCTGATCACGGATGCCTCGTCTGAGGTCTGAGGCTGACACTGCGAGTCTCTGGGCACATCAGCGATCCTGGTAAGTTGGCATGTGCCGCGCATCACAGTAGTCAGTCTTGCGTGCTCTTGTATCCCGGCAAAGTTCATGAAGACACCATCCGGCGCGAAAAGGATCTTGCCAGATAGGACCAGACACAGAGTTACTAAGTCAGCGAGAGGTGCCCCGAGCATGAGCAAAGATGAGAAAAGACATGGACAAGTGCCGCACACTGAATCTCCGAAGCAGCTTGCGGACCCTCTTGAGATCATGTGTGGCCCGCCGGCCCGCCCTGCCTCTCCCGAATCTGCGGCGCGTAGAACTTGGCTACGTGGCAACAAGCCTAGCCCGCAGGTGCTGGTTGTATGCTGCACATGACCTGCTTTCCCAAATCTTCCGAATGTGAACGAAGTCATGACCTGAATAGGTGCACCTCCCATGGCTCCATCTGACTCGTCGCCTCCGGCGATGCAATGGCTTCACAGAACCCCGTAGACAAATGACCGGCAGACGTGGCATGAGGCAGCTTCTTTTCAACAGATAGTGACGATCTATCTCCACTTTGGGCGAAATCGACTGGCACCGTCGCTCTTGATCGCGGTTAAAATGCGCAGCTCTGATAGCAGATCATCAGCAAGCCGCTGTGGAAACGGATCTTCTAAAAGCATGACTGGAGATCGGCTTCACCATATGTACAATAAGGCACTCATTCTTTGGACTGTGATGAACTGTGGACTTTAATCATAAACGGATAGAATCTCCAGGTGGTTGTTCTTCCCTACTTTTTGTAAAGGTCGCTTTCCAGCTCCCAAGGGAATCGCCCCCAGGTCGGCTTCTCCACACTGTTCGCCTTCCGGTATTCCTGGGAGCTATCTATGATAACAACGGTCATGCCACGCAAATGATAACCGTAGTCATCACAAGCTCATCATCATCAGCAGCAGCTCTGTGTCAGCATCGTCATCACTGTCAGAGCGAATACGTTCGATAGTTTTCCCTCGCAGCTGCAGCCTCAGCAGTGTACTCCTTGCCACTCTCGTCGTAATTCCTTGGCTTGCACTTCGTGGCACAGAGTGGGATGCGGAATGAGCCGGAGCACCAGTGCTGCGGCATGGAAGGTCAGGTATCGGCACAGGGTATTATATGCGCAGCATACCGTATGCTGCGCAGACTACGGTAATCATCCTACACGTCACGACACAATCCCTGCACGAGGCTCCTTACAAGTTCACAGTGGAGCCAAGATTCCACCAGCCCAAGCGGCCAGAAAAGATGAGATAGAGGGTCCCAAACGGAAAAAGTACAAAAAACCTGCAGAAGCAACGCGCTGGACTCTCTCACAAACTGGGATAAGGGGCTCTGATGATATACCGACGCTCGGGTTTCCTATAGCTTGAACTCGAGGGCTGATCCCACGCCCGAAATTCGATCCGTTCCTGCTGCGATAGATGCTTCATAGTTTCTCGCCAACCGAACATGGATGAGGTGCCACTGGTCCGCGAACAAGCTGTACCCGAATCAGTCACCATCATTCGGGGCCGAGGCACACGACAGCGAAGGCTTGCTGCTCAGAGCCCCACTTGATGTAGCTGCCTTCCTGGCCGCGTACATGCAAAAGGCAGCACCGAAGCTGAAACAGACTGGGACTGGGCTTCTCGTCACGTGTCTGTCAAGGCTCTCCCGCAGAACCATCACTCGTGCCTGGCCCCAGAGCTGACGGAAGCGGGTTCAGGAAAGGAGACGCTCTCAAACTGCCCTGCCTAAGAACGCAGAAAGCACCTCACTGTCAGCCTTCCTCAATGCTCAAAGGCATGAAGAAGTCACGGCAGAGGTCTTCGATTCTTCTTGGGACTGGTGTGAACAAAGCGCAAGCATTGCAGCCCTGGGTCGCCACTTCTGGCAGTGCAAAGATGCCACCTGGATACACACACTGAGCACATCTTTGAGAATGCGTCGCGGGCTTCCCGCCACGCCTGCCGCCGCAAGGTCGGAGGCTTTCGGGCCGAGCCCTCTTGCCTCGCCAGAACGGCCAGCTTTGTGAGATGAACCAGATGTTTGCATCTTAGCCTAGTCGAGGGTTTGGGTCTTTGGGGGTGTCAGGCTTGGCGTGTGGAGCCGGGGATTGATCTGGCTGGCGGTTGTTGGTTCGGGGAGGGTGTACAACATGTCGGAAGCATGGCTGAGGTGCACGGCTTGCTTGGATATGGAGCCCTAGGGTGAAGGCAAGAGGAGAGGGGTGGTGGAATCTCAAGCAAGGCAACTTGCAACATCGCGATAAGCTCTTGCGTTCGCTTCATGCGGTGGTGTTGCTGGGGGGGCGTTTACGGCTGCCTTTCATGCTTACCTCCGTATCGGCATCCTTCGGCTTCACTGCTGGTCAGGTCTCTACGCACAGCAACCTGCACGTGACTTTGAGAATACTTGGGGAGAATACTTGGGGAGGCATTCGACGAGAAGTCTCAACGAAGACGGAGTTCGGCACGGCATGCGTCATTGTGAAAGTTCCGAGATGGGAACACTGAAGCCGGAAATAGCTGAACGATTTGAAAGTCGCAGCAGAACATGGTACTCTGCATCGGGGCCGATCAGTGTCGCCGCTTGGTGCGACTGCAACTGCATGTGCGGGAAAACGTCTGAACGATGCGACCGCATTGCTGTACCTGCTGGACTGAACTCTACGAAGATGCTAACACCCGCATGGCATCAACAACGACTGGTACGACCGCGAAGTGATTCCCCTCAGCTTTCAATATGGCATCCTGCACCAGGCCTGACCGGCTGGACCCACAAAGGTCAACGCAAAGGTCCCGAAAACCTTAGCGGGGCTGACGAAGCATGCTGCTCTCGATGCTGGACGGCCAGCAACTGTTGCGACCACGTCTGTTGCAGCTGAAGCGCTAGTATCACTGCCAGAACGCCTGGCCTGAATCGGAAAGTTGAGAAGGAACGATGTGCTCACCTCCTTGACTCCAGTTCTTCACGCAGGGTGCTTGCCTCTTGGCATATCGGCGCTGCTGCATCATGGCTCAAGGGATGCTTGCTTGATTCAGGTCAGTGTTGGATGTAGGTCTGCGTCAGCGTGAGCAAGCTGGCTTAGAGTGGCAGGAGTGCTTGTCGCTTCATCAGGTGCTGAACCAGACCCGTCATGCACTCTGCCCGAGGACGAATCACACTGTTACTACCGAGCTTTTGCAGAGACACTAAAACAAGCTCAACAGGCACCTCCCAGGCTGCCTGGTCATGGACCTGTTCCAAGCATGGGTCTCACATTCATCGTACCTACTGCGGCTCTTGGTCTGCAGGTTCTTGCCAGTGAGTGTCACTGCATGGTGCTGGGATGACTGGAAATATTCTTATCCTCCTAAACTCGTCTTCATGCCGACGGCAATGACAATCGGCACATGAACGTTCCGGCTGCTACTGCTCCTCCGTCTAATTCTACCACCACTACCAGCACCACCACCACTACCTACTACTCTTTCTGCTGTTGCCTCTGTCCCCGAGCATCAGATTTTGTCCACGCCATCTCTCCTCGCCTCTTCCAGAAGGGATGGGATCAGCGAGACGGCAAGGTGCAACCTGTCATGCCGCAGAAGCACCCACTAAGTCACTACCCGCCCGCAGACCCCCGGTGCTTTGGACCGAAGCGCCAGACAGAGCCCCCAAGATCAAAGGCCGGACCACTAATTCTGCCAGGGCTGGGCCTTGTCCTCATGACCTGCGGCTGCTCATATCAGCACGATGCATCATATCGCATCGACCCCAACGCTGCTCCGGGCATGTGGGTGATGGTGCAGGTATGGAACCTTGCGACCGGGCCTCTGCTACAGATGTCAGCGAGCTCTTGCCATCTGGCCGTGTCAGCGCTTGTCCATCACTACCTCAGCTTTGCAAAGTCATGCGACAACATGCAAGAGCTTTGAAGAGAAGGCCGCCATCTGAGAAGCTAGCAGTGCAAAGCAATAAGCGAGCGTGCCAACGCAACGGCAGTCCGCCAAGGAAGAGCCTCGGCGACGCATGTGCCCGTGGCCTCTTGGTAATGAGCATGGCATTCCCACACTTCTGAGCTTGCCTGGGAGCCTTCCCGAGCACTGCAAACATCCTTGACTGCCCCATACTGTCCCTTTCCGATTCCTCTCCGGCTCGTTCGTCTGGCATCCCAGCGCATCCAGTAAGAGTGTAAAGACTTCAGCTGGTCTGCCTGCTTGAATGTCCAGAAGCTGGTCAAGGTATGCTGGCTTGCGGTTTCTGCATATGATGTTTGCATATGATGTTTGCATGTTGTCTGCGTTGCTTGACATTTGCCTTTTGTCTGCATTTGCTGGTTGTATTTTTCCATTGCGTGATTTTGTGGCGTTTGGTGTTTTCGTCATTTTTGTGTTTTCAGCTGTGTTTGCCAGAGGACGCAAAAAGTGCCCCGGCCATAGCCCTGGCCCCGGCCCCTGCATGGCATCGTGCCAGGCTGCCCCGTGCTGCGTCCGCGCCCCGAATGCCAAAGAACAGAACAAAGGTTAAATGCAAAAACAACGCAAACCCAAAACGCTAAAACAACGCAAACCTGAATGCACACGCCAAAAATCCGAACCCGGAACACAACAAAACAACAAACGCCAAAAATCAACAAATCCGGAACAAAAACAAACTCAAATGCCAAAAAAAACAACTGAAGAACACACAAAAAAGCACGTAGAAAATTAGCAAAACAAAGTTCCGAACACATACCCAGTCTGTAGTCCAGAGATTCTTATAACATTAAGAGAACTCCCTGGCCATCTCTCATCGCCTTGGGTTCTTGGGTTTTTGGCACGCATCTGACGACCTACGACACTTGTATTCTAATGGGCACAGTCGAGCTTCGAACGTCAGAACTTGCTTGATCAACTCGGTACGTGCAAGGCACGCTGGGAAAATGCAGCAATAACGACGAGCCTGCTTCCAAACACAATGGAGCCTTGGCACTCTAGCGTGGTGTCCTTGATTTTCGGTGGGTTCAGGAATAGGCATCCGGTCTGTCTCAGTTCGCAATCATTTGTATCGTGCTGAGCACTTTCCGTGCTCATCATCCATGCTAAAAGCATGTTGGTGCGGTCGGAAAAACGGGCCCATGTATTGGCAGAACCTGCCTGCCACCTCGGCACCCATCCACCATCCGAAGGTTGCGCTTGTGGAGAAGGTCTCGATGGCCCGGACCAAGGCCACCAGTGCGATATGGACAAGGCGGACAAGGGACGATCATCGAATGCTTACTAGGAACAGGGAATTCACCAAATAGAAGCAAGAGGCTGGCGTATCTAACCTCAACTAATCTGTTTGCCCTGACCAGATCGGGCTGTGGTTTCACGAAACTGGGCTTGGGTGTGTACGTACGACCAAGTTTCCGGCCTCTCGCGAGTCTGGCGGAGGCAAAGCCAACAAGGGCTGCCTACCCCCATGCAAGGCTGCAAGTTGCGCTGGAGCTCGTCCACACCTCACACCCGTGCCTCCTCGAGAGATATGCCCTCGAAATCGCGGCCAGCGAACCTGGGATCGGCCAGAGGCAGTTCAATGTCTCCCAGACAGTTACCAGTCTTCGGCTGCCTCAGAAAGAAGTGGCAGTGCGGAGGATGCTTGTGCTCCAGTCAGGTGCGACTACCTCGTTTTTTCCTGTACTACTGCGCGTGCATCATCAACAGACTTTGTTTGACAAAGTCTGGACATATCTGTGAGGTTTGCACACCTCAACTTGTCAACAGGCCACTACCCGCGTCTTTGGACACCTTCTTCGTTCTATGGATATGCTGCGATCATTCATCTATGTGACCCCAAGCACCGGAACCTTGCTTGCCTCCCCGGCAAGGTCAGTTCTTCAGGATGCCCTTGGCCAGTCCACCAAACCTGGGGCAATCGCGGGTCCAAGGTTGCGAAAGACTGCTTCGCGTGTTTTTTGGCTGCATTTTGTCATGTCAGGCGGCCGTGAGTCACCAGGCTCAGGCGGTGTTCTCGCGAAGCTGGTTCCAGCTGCTGGGTGATGCTGCCTCAGACAGAGGCACCCTTCAGGACTTGCTGAGGGGCCGAGTTCAACATCTGAAACCGCTGTCTTTGGTGGGTTCTGCCGAGAATCCAGGTGGCATCCCAGTAGTCCGGTGCCTTGTAGTGGCCAGGTCCGGGTGCACCAGTGATTTTCGCCTGCGAAAGACCTGTGAAGATGAGAGTCTACAACAAAGTCACCGATACGGCCCCACATCCGGAGCTTGCCTATACCCTTCTGCTGGGTAAAGGTGACGAGCGAAGGCGATTTGTGAGACGAAAGCCTCAAAGAACCGCAACATGCAGGGTCTGCAGATGTCTTGAGCTCAGAACTCTGAAGACTCAAAACCGCACTCAGCATTGCTTCGAGAGCACTGCTTCTGCGCCGGGTGTGAAAGACCGATCTCCTTCTCCCAGACCATCGCACCGACAAGATGGGTGTCGTACCTAGAAAACTCACGAGGCTCCTTTTCCAAGAGACCACCCAATACCCCTTAATTAAGGAATATACCTGCCTTAAGTCATAATAATAAGCCCCCGTACACAGAGAACCCAAGCCCTGGTCCCTCTTTCTGTGCAGCTCGGCTCCGAGCTCGCCGGGGCTCAGGTCGTTGTCGATGCCGGCCTTGGCTTTCAAAAGCCCCCCACCTTTACCCCAGAATGCCAAAAGCCATGGCAGCCCAGCGGCGTAAATGGGTGGTCTCTTGGAGACGCCGAAGCCGCGCTGAAAGTTGGGCCTGCTACCAGAATGCAGGATTTCGGCAAAGCAGAGACATCCTCGAACGTCATCACATCACTCAGCATGCATCAATCTCCGTTAGGCAGTCAAGCCGGATTTGGGAGCATTGCAGCCACGGGTGCCTTTGAAAGAACGAGGACGAGTTCGACATCGACATCACGCCTCCTCGCGATAAACCATGCGACGATGTCAGGCTTCATGTTCATGTGCTGCACATGACCCTTGAAAGTCCCTTTCCTGAGTGGTGGCGTGTTTCGGCAGAGACCGCGTGAAGGTCAGGTGCACTGCGACGCTTTGGCAAGTTTGACCTTAAGTGTCGCCCACGATTTCGAACAGGGACTGACAAGGTACCTCTCAAAGAACTTGGTGTGAGGCATCTTGTCAAATTGCCGGACTGCCTTTTTCTCATATTTCCTGCAGAAGGATAATCATACGCACGCAAGGGCACATGCATCCTAAAACTTAACCCCGAGGCAACGATGGTCCTCAAATCTTTCTTGTCTGCTTTGGAAACAACATTTTTGGCGAACACTTGGCCTCAGATAGCATGGGATTGCGGAAAGCCTTAGCTTGTGCAATGCTACGAAAGACGAACAAATGTGCGGCTCTTCTGCTATACCTACAGGTGATGGTGCTATCCCTGCAGAGAACGACGATTGCGATGCTCATGGTGATCTGTCAAGCTTTGATGAAGGATTGCTGAAACTTCCAACAACCTTGTTTGAACCCAAAACTCAAGATGCTTGGAATGCAGTAGAACACATCAGACGCAGGTGTTGCGAAGACTCTCGTGTATTCACTTCGGCATTGTTTGTCCCAGAGCCTTTGTAGTAAGCAGTATGTCTGCATGTGGCCGGGAAACCGAATCAAGGATTTCAGCCTGACTCCCTACATCAATGTCGCTATGCTTGGCGCTGCATCGAGGTGTTAGACCTCATGCCGACTACAGCAGTCCCCTCACCTCAGAGGCTGCTCAACTGATTGACATCATCGGTTCAGACGAAGGCAGACGGTTGCTAACAAGGCAAACAGGAGGACCATGAGGCTATGAAGTGTGACATAGGATCTACGGAGAGAAGATGAAGGGGGAGAGAGAGCGAGAGAGAGTGAGATACGAAGTCAGACAGTGTGGACAAGCTTCACAACGAGTTAAACAACAAGTGTAGATCTCGAAGGCTCAGAAGACTACAGTTAGTTTCCTCCGGGATCCTAATATCAGGGTCCCAATTTATGTCTATCTCTTCGTTTCTGAAACTAGAACTCCCATCTGAGATTCCGGCCTTTCTCGATGTGTTGCAGGATCAGCTCAGTTGCTTCCTGAGAGGAGAGCTGCGCTGGGACATGGTCCCACGGGAGCTGCCTCGGTCAGGTCATATCGCCTTACTACGTTTGGGATTACTACTTGGGTGTAGCACTTTCTAAAGGGCTTTACGTGAAAACCCAAGGAGAAGTTTGCTGCGGTCTTTGCTGTAGCACCGTACGCGTATTGAACTAAAATCGCGTTCTCGTGAATCCCCTGCCGAACCGGTCCACCTGGCAGGCCAAATTCATTCTTGCTGCTGCTGCTCCTGCTACTCCTGCTACCGCCACCACCAACACCACCACGACTACTTCCTACCGCTGCTGCTGCTTATTCTCCTCCTCCTACATTTCCTCCTGCTCCTCCTCCTACTCCTTCGCTCCTTCCTACTTGTACTGCTACAACAAATACCACTACTAGCACTGGTACTAGAACTAGCAAGCACTAGCACTAGTACTTATTCTTGCTCTTGTACCTCTACCTGTAGTTGTACTTGTACTTCTTACTACTACTCTTACTACTACTACTACTACTACTACTACTACTACTACTACTAGCCACCCCCCTCCCCTACCAACTACACTTGCTCCATCCGGGCTGGGCAGTGGCAGCTTCTAGGCTCCCGAACTGCGACAGGTGCAGAAGATGCAGGGGCTCTGGCTCCCTATCTGTGACAGCTGCAGAAGTTGCAGAGGCTCACTTTCCTTAACTGTCAGAGTCGGTGAAGTCGCAGAGGATCAGGCCCCAAAACTGCGACAGCAGTTGGAGTTGCAAACTCGACGGGGAAGAAA